AAAAGGGAAAAAGAAAAAAAAAAAAAAGAATAGAAAAAGAGAAAAGAAAAAGAATACGAAGAAAATGTCCAAAATGCTAATTGCTTACTCTAGAAGAATGGCATATAAGTGTTTATATACTGTTCTTTCCATATTTCTGTAGACATAAAAATTTTCAAAATAAAATTTAATTAAAGTTAAACCCAAGAGAGGGGTTAATTTAGGGGTCACTTTTAGTGACCCAGAGGTCATTTTTCTATTGGCTCTGTCCCTACCTACCAACACTGTCGTCTGGGACCTTCCCTTATGATGGAGGAAGCCCTGGGGAGTAGAGGTAGGCTACCTGTCCCCTAAAGATTGCTGTCACTCTGGAAGGCAGCCCGAACATAGTCTTCTCTTGTAACTTGGGGATTTTGCTTGTTGTCTCTTTTGCACAGTAATTCCATCAAGCTGGTGAATCTGCTCTCCATATTTATTAGCACATGGCTAACTGCAGCCGGGTTCATCCATTTGGTAAGTACCCTTGATGATGCTTCAGCTCTGGCTTTTCTGCAGTAAATCTGTCCCTGCGTCATTTTATTACTTGAAATTTTTCTCCCTGAAGAGAAACTTCAGCCTCGCTGCAGAATGTAGGAGGAGGGGCAACTGCACAATTGTCTGGGTTTCCAACCCTTTTACCCAAAACTAGTTCCAAATGGTGAATGATGTTCGCTTCATTAACCTGCATTTTTCAGCTCACTGGTTGGGTGGATTTTTCCCTCTGTCTGCAGTAACCCCATTCAGCCACAAGATGGCAGTGCTTCCTCAGCCAACACTTGAAAGGTCTTGGTGACAAGGTTGGGAGTTTGACCCATATCTCTTAATAAACAACAAATTCACATCCCTCAATTTCTCTCTACTTCCCCCTTACAAAAAGCCACCTTTGATTCTTTTGCCTGATTACTTGTCAAGTTATTTTGTATCTCCAAAACGTTAATTCTTTTAAATTAACGACTCTCTGAAAGGTTTCCATTATCAAGTCAAGCTCTTCTCACCTCCTCAAGGCAGACCTTTATTCCTGCTTTTAGGGACCACAGCTTTTGCTGGAAGCGTGTTTCATGCAAACACAAACTGTTAAAACCGGAAGGAGCCTCATCTAACTCTGAAGCTTTGAGTAAAGGTGCCTTTCCCTTGCTGAGACTCTACCTGTGTTAAGGGGCAGAGGGATGCCTTTAATTACCTCCCGTCATCAGGATTTATGTAATTATCATGGGAGGCAGGCCTGGGATGGAAGCCGGGGGTGGGAGGAGGGGGCTCTCATTCAGTCACTAAATCTGAGGGCTTCCCCACCCACCCTTTTATGCTGATGGAGTTCTTGGCTGAAATCACGCTTAGTAGGTAATCACCCTAATCACCATGTATGGTCTTCAGTATTTCCATGAGGTGAGCTCACCTTACATTTTGTGACGTAGCTTCTGCTCCACCGAGAAACCTCCATGAAAATGGCACGTTGAGCTCAAGAAGTGATGTGCGAAAAAGTCTAGGTTTTGGAAACTTTCTGCAGAGGAAGAACCAGAGGCTTGGTGGATTGGGGGCCTGGAGGCTGGCTGCCCACATGGGCCATGCTGGTGGATCATAGGCACTGCCCATGCACTGTACTGCAGGGCTGGGATCTGGGGTAGACCTGGAGATCCAGCCCACATTTCTCCCTCTCTCCTGAGAGTAGTAGCTAGAGTATCTCTCCTGCCTCCCTCACAGCTTTGTTGGTAGATCATATCGATGGGAAGGTGAGGTATTTTGTAAAGTTGGGCACACTGCACCCCTGGGGAAAAAGGGCTCCCAATTCATCCCCTCCCCTTGGGTTTAAGTATTGCCTCTGGCTGATTCACCAACTGCAGAGTCCAGTTGTTGCTACAGAAATCGGAAACTGTCTGTTGCACAAAGCTGAAACTCGTTACTATCTGGTCCTTTACAGAGAAAGCTTGCTGACCCTCCATCTAAAGGGTTGCACAAAAGCAAATTGTTCTCATGAGCTCAATTTTTTTGTGCTCAGGGAAATTCCTGCCCTTTGCAGGGTAGAAGAGCCATCCTTGACATTCTGCAAAGCCGGGAGAGCAGAGTCAGACTTGGAGAGATGCTGTTTAGGGTTCGGGTGTAAGGTCTGAATGAGTGAAGCCCACCAGGCATCGCCTTGGTCAAAACGATGAAAAGGGGAGGCCCCTGGTGAGAGAGTCTCAAATTTCTTTGGGTGTACAGGAGCCAGGCCCTCCGAGACTGAGCAGGAACTCACAGAGAAAGTTCAGGGCACAGCTCCCTGGCTCTCGCCTTGAAGAGAATGCTGTAAAACGTGGCCGGGGGCGATGCCTTCAAACTCCGCAGGCTCCAAAGCTTTAACAAAGAGAAGAAAACCGGACTAAGGATGCATATCTCTGTTCCTTCCCCATCTCTGCCCCATCAGCTAGGAAGGCATATGTGGGTTACTGCCACCCGACTCTCTCCATTACCTGCGTGGAGGTTCCAAGTCATTGCTGTAAAACTCACCTGGGGCCGCAGACACCTCGTGTGGAGCCTGCTGAACCTTTTGTGTTCCTGGCCTATCCTACGTACATAACGTCATCTTTTTTCTTCCCTGTCCCCTTGCTTTAGGTGGAGAATTCAGGGGACCCATGGGAAAATTTCCAAAACAACCAGGCTCTTACCTACTGGGAATGTGTCTATTTACTCATGGTCACCATGTCCACTGTTGGCTATGGGGACGTTTACGCAAAAACCACGCTTGGGCGCCTCTTCATGGTCTTCTTCATCCTCGGGGGACTGGTAAAAACTCTTTATTACGATGTTGATTTTTACGGTCATTAATATTTTCTATGATCCGTTTCTTTAAAGCTTTGTATTTTTTGGTTCTGTGTTTCTGCATTACCAGCAAGTGATTGCCTTAGCGTTACAGTCAGGCTAAGTAAATCCAAACGCGAATGGTGACTTTTCTGCCTATTTCTTCGGTATGTTAGACTTGTCTCCCAGAGACCCAGGCTCCCTGCCCTTGTTGGGGTCAGCCTTTTCGCCAGGAGGAAACCTAATTGTCTTAAAGAAAGTGATGCTCCCTTATTAAGTGAGAGTGTCTGTCCTTTAGTAATGCAATTCAGCCCCTGATACTTTCTGCAAGGACAGCTGCTCTCACCTGACCCAGTGGATGCTGTGGAGACTCTGTAGACAGTTTGCGGTTTCAAGAGCTCCCCCACACCCTTCACGATCCTCCCCTAAACTTCCAACAAACACTGTGGCTGGGGCCTGCCCTGAAGAGTATGGTCCCCACAGAGGACGGAAAGCCTACGGGTCTCATGCAGGTGGACATCATTATGTAAGCCGAGTGTGGTTTTGTAAACGGCCGACTAGCTCCACGATGCAGCGACCCGTGGGATGTTTTTCCTCCTCCTTTGTAAGTCAGAAGCTTTCGCTGTTTGCTTTTCTGGTCTTTGCAGATCCTAACGGTCGGTTATGATGTAATTTTCAAGGGCGATTTCTGGCAACACATGGTCGGTTGCTGCATTTTGTCTTTCAAAGTAGCTCGTTTTGAGATTTTTGCCGCGTATGCGGTAAGTGATTAGAATCCTCCCTCACACACAGCTTTCACGTATGTACGCCGCACATACATTTATAAGATGCATATACATTTCTCTGTTCTGTATGCATATATACATTTAAAAAATGTATATAAATGTACATGTGCGTGTGTCCATTAACACAAGCATTTCCCCAGCACTTGGGAGGTCCCTGTAGATACTGAGACCCATGAATCCAGCCACAAGCACAATGTTTGTTGGACAAAACATGGCAGATTTGTGTTTCTCCTTGCCATTCTGTCCTCCCATGTGATTTCCTAAATTTACCTTTTGTGCTTAGTAATTTTTTTTTAAATGGAAAAAGTTTATATTATTTTAATCTTCTTTTGGTGTTTATTGTCTTTCATCACTCAAAAAGGCATTGATTCTCCTGTGAATTTTAACCAGAAAGAAAGGTCTTACCTTGCCGTTGTGTATGTGTGTGTGTGAGCGTGTGATTTCACCAGCATGCAACCCTGTACTGCCTTCCCTTCAGCAAGAAAAGCTAGATGTCAACTTATTTATTCCTGTCTCCTTTGCATTTTTCTTGACTGTGATTTTTTTTTTTTTTTTTTAGTAGTTGTCTAGGTTGGCTAATGTTTGTCTGGTCCTGTGTATTTTCAGGAGCTTGCCCTTTTTGTGCTTTTGTGCTTTTATCTTTATAATCCACCGTATTAGTATATACCTTTGCAGTCCTAACCCTTTTGTGTTTTTGGATCTTGGAGCCCCCCCTCTTCTGAAAAGGTCACCACCTTTCTTTGGCCTGTCTTTTCAGTCTCTCTTCTGTCTCCTGTCTTTTCCTCAGGCCATGTTTGCCAGCTACGTCCCTGAAATCATAGAATTAATAGGAAACCGCAAGAAATACGGGGGCTCCTATAGTGCGGTTAGTGGAAGAAAGTAAGTATGCCAAGAGGTTTTGCTGCCTCCGCTGTGGTAGAATCCTCTCTGCATGCCATTTTTTTTTTTTTTTTTTTTGGCTCTTGTTTCTTTGTTTCATGCATGTAGGCAATGTTTGCCCGCTACGTGCCCGAAATTGCTGCTCTCATCCTGAATCGGAATAAATTCGGCGGGACTTTTAACAAACATGGAGGCAGAAAGTAAGTCAGTTGCATCAGAAGAGACGGGGTTGAGTGACTTTCCAGAGCCCCTCTGGTGGTGACACCTGACACCTGAATGCTGCCCCTGAAGCTTCTGTGAGGGAAGGACCACATTCTGTTTGGGGTGTGATGTCAGAATTACCCCAGAAAGCTGTCACCCGCGGATTGACTACCCACACCTGCCCATTCATGGCTTTCTTCCCCACCCAGCTTTCTGAGACACATACTGCATTTCTCCTGGAAGGAATCCCTAGATAACTAGACCTGTATTTTCTGTTCTAATCCCTCTGCAGGAAACCAGGCTCATTCATTCTTCACATCGACTGGCTTAGTGATTACATTCTGGTCCCCCAGACTAATGTGATGCCATCCTAGGGTTTTTTTGTGTGTGTGTGCAGCAGTAACATGGGATTGTCCTCCAGCAGGGAAGTCTTAGGGAGGGCAAGGTCAAGGCCACCTGGCCTACCGTCAAGGCACTGTGGCAGCCAGGAAACCAATTCTCTTTAGCCAGGAGGCACCGAACTTGTCCTCAGAGGGACTCATTACTCAGTTGAGATTCCTTCTGGGCAAGACATATTCTATCTATGGTATGTCAGGGCACAACATACTAGTCCTGATGGGAGTCTTTTGTTTGGTTGCCTGTACATCAATGCTTTCTTCCTGGGGACTGTTTCATTTTGTGCTCCAATCATTTTATCAGTATCCATATCAGTGCATGGGTTCATTATCAACCAGAAGGTTGACTCCTCCATAAACAGTAGGGCCTTAGCATCTCTGTCCTCTGCCGGAGCACCAGGCAGGGCTGGTGGCAACCATTCTTTACTTTTTTTTTTTAATCTTTTTCTTGGGTCCTCAGCTTTGTTGTTTTTGTTTTAACTTCCATAGAGTAAGAGACACACAGTTTTAATGTACAGCTCAAGGGATATGTTCCTATGTGCACACTCAGTCATTACCATCCAGATCGAGATGAGAGTATTTTCATCACTCAGGCCCCTTCCCAGTCCTAGAAGCTCCGATCGCAGAACTGGGTGCCCCTCCTCTGATACATTTTCAGATGAACACTTGAACAGCCTATTTGGTTTTTTAAGAGAAAATAAAAGGATAGCACTGCCCTTCCCCCTCACCTCCTCCTTGCCTGACGGTCCTGTTGGATGGAGCAAACCTCGTCTCCTGTCGGTGATCCCAGTGTATCCTGAGCTCAGGTGTCCAGTCCTTCGTTCAGAAAATGAGGAGGTGGAAAAAAAAAAAAAAAGACTCATTTTCTTGAACTACCCACAGGATACCAGTTTCCTTTCAAAGGAACAAAGGAGAGTGGACGAGAGGAGGCCAGTTGGCGTCTCTTCCGTGGAGGCAGCACATTTCTCCACCTTCCCTCTAATGGCGCCCTCCTCTTCCTATTATGTTAACAGCCCTGGATGAGATGAGAACCAAGCTGTTCTGATTTCTGGGCCATTGGTTGGATCCAAAAGGCCAGATAAGTCCAGAGATTCCCATTGGTCATTTATTCCATTGCCAAGAGGAAAACAGCTCCTCTGTCCATTTCGCCTTTAAGGTGTGAACTGGCCGCCATAAAGCAGAAGGCATTCTGAGGAACTGGGCTCTCTTTATGGCCTCCCACCCCACTAGCTCAGCCAGCATTTCCTTATCACTGCCCCTGAAGAAGCCCATAAAGTCAATTGCCCCGAAGTCTACATTGAGCATATTTCTAGACTCTCACTCTAGGTACAATGTTTTTCCTTTAAATAGTTTCCCTGGTCCAGTGTGGGTGGGCCAGGTGGCTGGTGGCCTTTGTCGCTGGGTGCTCCAAAGGGGGCCTCAGAGCAGCAGTCTCTCACCCGCCCCTGGTCGGATCTGGTTATCTTTCTCACCTTGGCACTTCCACTCAAACCCTCGAGTGCTGATGACTTCAGATCGCAGACTTCCCATGGCTTTTGTTCTGGCTCCGTCTCTGTCTTCTTTTATCACGGCCTTTAGCCTGGTTTTTTCTCTTTCGCTTTTTTTCCCCCTCCCTTTATGAAAATACACACTTTGCTTTTAATGTGCTCTTTGGGTCTCTGATGTCCCCCGACCCTGAGGACAGAGAGTAGGTCCTGTCATCAACACGGGGACCGTTCACTTTACGCATTGTTTCCTGGTTCAAAAGCTAATTACTAAGTAGTTTAAAGAAGCCCTTTGGTCACTTAGATCTTTCATCAGAAAATATAAGCTTGGGAAAGGAACGGTAATAAAGGGCCATTAGCACCCTTTGTTTGATGTTGTTTTCCAGTCAGTAGAACAAGATTGATGAAATGTTATGTTTGGCCAAAATTTGAGTTTTCATTTGGAATTCAGTGTTGAGAGAATGGGCTGTCAGAATCAATAAGTTTTCTTTCGCTTGGGATATAGGCATGTGGTAGTAATTAGCAATATAAGGTCTTTAGTTGAGCAACCAAGCATGGACTCTGGCAGCAAACATAATGAGAAACTACAGTTGTTCTACTTCTAACGTCAAAAAGTTTCCAGATAAAATTAAATGCATTTGCAAAAGGAAAGCAGCTAAACTTTGTTGAAAGATAGAGTTCAGACTCTTAAAATAGCATGCTTTGCCCCGTGTTTTTGTGTATGCAAAAATATATGCCCTAGACCCACGGACACACATACGTATACTCTTCTCCCTAGGATTTCATCAAGTGGATGCCCAGAATGTAATTAAAACATATACATAGTTAAGGAGATTGTTTACGTGTGCATATTTTACTCAGAAATAACCTCTCGAACAATGCATTAACTTGTCAGACAATTTAAGGTAACTTGTGACCCAAAGCTACAGACACACACAACTTTGAAATCTAAAGATGATTTCAAGTAAAAAAAAAAACAAAACAAACAAAAAACCCCAAAAACCAGAAAAACAAAAACACAAAAATTAGGCAGAGAAGTTCAGGGTTTTGTTTACACAACACCCAATTTCAGGATATTGGAGAACATGGAGATTTTGTTGGCACCTCATTACCTCATTTTCGGTTTTCATCTACGTGTTTGGCATAAGGTAAACACTCCACATAGCATCCCCAGAACATCTTCAGCATCAACATGGGATCAAGGGCCCGGAGTGTCTTTTTCCAATGCGTGTATCAGTGTTCATCACTTGACCTCCCAGAGGACATCCAGAGCCAATGGTAGATGTGGGGGCGTGTGCGTGTGTGAGTGTGGCTGTTCTCTACTTTATCTTATTATGATTATGAGGTATCAGGGCTCCTAAGAATAGGAATTGGGTGTCAATAACCGGGGGTTCAGTGAGTAGCCTATGCAGGCAGTCTCTGTGGGTTGGAGGTCTTGGGGACAATTGGCTTCTTGGGCTGAGACCCCAGATCTTATTAATAAGGGTAGCCCACCTGCAGCCCAGCCTGCCCCCTAGGGTACTGCCTCTTCCTCCTTCTCTTCATGTAAAACCAAAGCTGCTCAGAGGTGGGGGGCAGGAGGGTGAGGCTCCCATGGCCTTTGAGATCCCGGCTTGCTCTCCTTCCTCCCACAGCCCTTGCTGTTTCCCCCAGAGATTTCCTCTCTGTGTGTGACTCAGCCACTCCTGCTTAGTTTATGAGAACTGACAAGATCATGGTCCGAGGTCACATGGCCAAGGGCCATGGAAAATAATCAGCCACAGAGAGGAATCCATCTGCTGTAACCCCCTTGTTAGAGGTGGCCAGGCCAGGGAGCCATCCAGACCTTGTGTATCCCATGAGGGGCTTCTGGGGCCCCAAACTGAGGTAGTTCTTGGCCAGGTGTTGGGGAGAAGGGAGAATGGGCTGCGTTTGGATTATTCTACTGATTTCTGGTAGCCAAATGCTGAGAGGACACAGAAAGAGGAGAATGAATAATAGAGGACAAGAAGAAGCCAAGAGGGGGCCAGGAAAGTGAATGAGGTCCACTTGAAGGAAAGGTCCCCTGGCTCATGAAGAGTCTGGGCCCCCCTTCTGGTTGGGGGGAACAGTTGTTACAGACTAATCTGGCTCTAGTTCTAACACAAGAAAGCTGTGGAACTTAAATGCTATGACTTCCCTTAGAACTTTTCTTTATATAAGAGGAGTGTCACATACTTGCAGTTGAGAGTGAATCACTATGGCCCAAAGCCTTAAGACTGCCTTCTTAGACAGTAATAATACCTACAGACTTGCATATTTCTTAATCCTCACAGCAACCACATAAGGAAAGCATTATCATCTCCCTTTGCAGTAGGTGAGGAGACTAAGGAACAGAGAGGTTACGTGATTTGCCTGATGGCACACAGCAAATAAAGGCTAGATTTGGGATTTGAACCCAGGGGCAATTTGCTTCACTGGGACATGCTGTCTCTAGAGATCATCTCCTGAGATCCCTTTCTGTTCTGAACCGCATGGTCCTATGGTTGTATGTTTTCTTCCGCCTCTACCCATGAGTAGGGCCACAACACTGTGCACATGATGGAGCGGAAGAGAAATGCATGAGTATCACTGGGGGCTTCTCTCTTCCTTATGCTCACCTATTGCTTCTAAGGGTCCTGGCCCCCTGGGGTCAAGGACCAAAAGGTGGAGAGGGGACAAAACCATTTCTTCCTTGATTTTTCTCATTTGGTGAAACTAGAAAGGTATTTACCTCTTGTACACTTCTAACAATGAGGGGCTCTTAAGGATGGACAGACAGATCATGACCAAAATGAGATTTGTGCCTCATTTGTGGTTCTCAACATTTTCAACCCCTTCCTGGGGAGTTCATTTCCTAGGTTACCAGCCATGGCGGACTGTAGTGATCTGCCAGGCGCAGGATGCCCCCCGCCCCCGCCCC